CTGAATGTGACTGGCACTTGTCGACACGGTATGTGCTTGATATGCTCAATGACGGGCCTGTGAAATGAGAGGGGGAGAGTTTTGGGGAGTAGAGAGGCGGTGGGAAGGCGAAAATGGCTTTTACATCAAGCTTGCTTGAGCAATGTGGGTACTAGTTCTCACCCGAATACAGTGCCCGGTCTTTATAGCTGCATCTGGACTGCAAACTGCACCAAATATGGCTATAATGACCGGGCGACGTTCTATTCTGGTGTAGACAGTTAAGTCTTCTAGACGATGGTAACCGTATAGAGAAGGGGGAGAGAGAGAATCTCATCGTCTCCCGACGCGTCCAGGTTGTAGTACGTATTCACAGAAGGGAATGTTTATGTGATCTCATTCTGCGAAAGGTGGAGAGAGGTTTGTGTGGGCGCCACGTGGCGAAGAATGAATGGATGGGGTGTTTGCCACGTGGCACAGATGAGCCTTCTCAGCGTCGAATTGCGAATTGTGAACAGAGTTGGGAGGGAGCAAGAGGAGCCGCAGCGGAGGTTTTGCTGCAGGTGTGGTATTAGGTAGGGAACAAAGCTTTTTCTAGGGAAGAAATCTCAGAATTTAAAGGACACATCTCCTATCGCATCGAATTGAGAAATTGCAACAGTGTTGGGGGGGAGCAAGCAGAGCAGAGCAGAGTTTTTGCTACAGGTGTGTGAGGGAATAAGCTTCATCCAGGGAAGAACGCTCAGGATTCGAATGACACATCTCTGGTCGTATGGCATCGAATTCAAGCAGAGCAGAGCAGTGTTTTTGCTACAGGTGTGTGAGGGAATAAGCTTCATCTAGTGAAGAACTCTCAGGATTCGAATGACACATCTCTGGTCGTATGGCATCGAATTAAGACCCGTCAACAGAGTTGGGAGGGAGTAAGCGGAGCAGAGGTTTTGCTACAGGTATGTGAGGGAATAAGCTTCTTCTACAGAAGAACTCTCAGAATTTGAATGACGCAGCTTTTGTCATATGGCATCGAATCGAATTGAGAATTGTGAACAGAGTGGAAGGGAGCAAGCGGAGCAGCAGAGGTTCTGCTCCAGGTGTGTGTTCGGTAGGGAACAGGCTTCTAGGAGGGGGGGGGGGGGAGACTTGGGATTGGAATGATGCATCTGTTGTCGTATGGCAAAGTGTGGCCTTTCGTTTGAAGGCAAGCGATGGACGGAGTTGTGACAGGATTAAGATAGAGTTTGTTTGGCGTGCAGTGCTTTCGCTCTTGGCACGGCAGAGGGAGGATTAGCTTCTGGCCGAGGACTATGCTGGTGTTTCTGTGCGGGTCGATCGCCGGTTTGTAACGTTTGTCTACTGTTGCTGAGGTGTTGTTGTTGGTCTACTGCGAGTCGTCGGACAGGTTTTATTGCTTTGCAATGCGCATTGATAACGATTAACTATGGCTTTCATCGGTGCGCACACTGTTCCTTGTGGCTGCGGAAATGGCACATTTATCTTTGTGGCGTTCTTAATCCACTTGCGTTGTGCACTGTTTCGTTATGGCTGCGAAAATGGCGTATTTAATATCTATGTTCATGCCACTTCATGGCGTTCTTAATCGACTTATGGTTGGCGAGGATCGCCCAGCTCAGAGAGAGAAACACAACTCTGAAAAAGAAAAAAGGAAAAGGAAAATTGACTGCTGCGGCTGTGTGCTGGCGTTGGCTCCACTTCGTTGAGTTTCAGATCTCAGGCCGCAGCTTTCGCCAAAGAGTCGTCGGAGCGGTAGCTGCTGTAAGTTTGGTCATTTCACACAAGCATGGGACCTCGCTCTACCGCTCACCAAATGTGCAAAGTGAGAGCGAATCGTCCACACTAGAACATGTAAAACGGTTCTCCGTCCACACTAGAATTTTCTTTAATATTTTCTGCCTGTGGCAACTGGTGGTGGAGCGAAGGATGAGCGAGGCCCATGGATCTCATTGGTTCGCATTGCGCATTTCGATTGATCGAATTTTTTTCATTATGGTTTTCGTCGGTCCGAGGCCCATCGGTCAATCGAAAGGCCCATGCAAAACATTTCATGGCGGCGAACCGTTTTTCACGAGGTCGTATTCTGCAGAGCCGATGTGGATTCACGGAGCAGTACGATGTCCAGTTGCATCATAACTCGATTTGCCGTTGAAGCCCTTTGCCCGTTGGAGCTTCGACGCCTATGCTGCCATTCATGACACTCAAAAAAATCGACAAACAGGCTTGCAGACTGGCAAGATTCAACATTCATGGTTGTCAAAATTCATGGCTGTCAAAATTCATGGCTGTCAAAATTCATGGCTGTCAAATGTTCATGGCTGTCAAACGTTCATGGCTGGAGAGGACCTCGGATCTCTTTCCGATAACACACTAAGGAAAGGTACGTCGTCATCGTCGTCGTCATCGTCGTCGTCATCGTCGTCGTCATCTCACTGCTCACTGTTCTTGGAGACAATGTAGGACCCAGATGCCAGCCTGGCTTGAGAGGATCTCAAGGCTCAAACTTCTTTCCGACAGCCGTAAGGAGGTAAGGAGTCTAAGGACTCGTCATCATCATCTGTGTCTGGTGGTTCTTGTTCGCATGCATTCCCTCATCCCATCAGGTTGTTTTCGAGAAATTCGGGCCCGGTCAATAATAATGCCTAACCTGGGACCTTCCGGGACCAATTGGGACTGGGCCCAGGTGGGACTCCGGAACAGGGACTCGGGACTCGGGACTCTGGGACCTGGACTCGGGACATCCAGACAGCGTGAAATCCTTTCATCCTCACCCCCTCGGCTTCCTTTCAAGAAATGTGGGCTCGATAATAGCGCTCTATTTACTGCAATTCTTTACGGCCCGACGAGTGGGCGGTTAATTTGCTGTGGGTGGTGGTCATGTGGTTAATTTGCATGTCATGTTGTGAATGAATGGGAGGGAGGAGGGTGGGTGGGTGGGGTGTAGCTTTGTGCCAGAAGTGGGAATCGCCAGTCTGTGCTGTGGGTGGTAGTCGTCGTCGCCGGGGGTCGAGGTCACAAGGTCAGTTTTCATCCTCTCAAGCATCATGAGGGGGAGAGAAACGCCGCCAGTGTGAAGTTTCCGCCTCCAGTCTTTTTGCGGATTTGCACCACCAGCACAGTTGTGCAGATGTGTGTGCACAGACTGAGCCTGAGGGTGTGTGCTAATTCTAGGACTTTATGAGATGCATCTGGTGATGAACACGGCTAGATTCTGTCAAAAAGGTACAAGTCTGAGTCTGCGCATAGTGTATATTCTCTCAAGACCATGGGTAGTAAAGAACCTATGATGGGTCAGCCGCTTAAAGGACCTCCACCCTTTCCCTCGCATTGGTCCCGGGGTGGGCCCCCGAGCAAGTTTCGGAAAGTCCGAAACGAAATGGCGGTCGCCGACGAGAATTGCCAACGGCGTGGCTGCCGTTTGGCCCAGCGCCCGATTTATGCGCTGTACGCTATGTTCCCACGTGTTTCCCAACAGCGGGAAAGGTAGTGGCGGTTTAAAGTTTGTGTACTATTATGTTGCTTTCCAACTCCTCGAAGAGCAAAACATAATAATCTGCTTGCTAGTTTATGCAACAGTTCATGTTCAAGGGTGTTTGAGATTCTCAAGTGGGTTTTCATTCTGTGATTAGATCCGTTGAACTTAGACTTGTAGTCTGTTCCTGCCGCCGCCTGCTGGTTGATCTACGCCTTTTTGGGGTTTGCAGCTCGCACGCACGGTGGGTAATACGGTAGGTCTGAGGCCCTTTTTATGTATGGAACCTGGATCCCCTTTTGGGGTTGCAGCTCTTCGCATCTACGCCTATGCTTGTGTGAAGCAGAGACTGTACAATTACTTTTCTGAGTTTTCTCCCGCTGTATGAATGACTGACATAGTAGAGATACTTTCTTGTTGTTTTGCCTACCGTCTTCACCCTCGAATGGAATAGGATCATTATAGCTGAATTTGGGGCAACTTTCAGTCTAGATGCTGTGAGCATGACCGTGGGTTCTGTTCGGGCGAGAACGGTAGGGAGGGGAATTTGCCACGATATCGGCTGTCGATCTGATGGTGACGTTTCGTCTCCAAGGTGTGCACCATTCATTCATCTGTAAAGCAGGTAGGCAATTTCAAAAGATCTGATAACGATCGCTATTTTTGCAGTCATTTGTTCAAGTGTGTTTTTTATCGAGACCTTATTATATGACACGAAGTGTTAGTACTGTGTTACCTATCATGTCAGCTGCGAGCGAGCATATGATGTTCCGACATAAAATCCTGAGTACCCATTTAGTATCTACGTCTCCGAACACAATATCCTGAGTACCTATCTATGATAGTAACACTTCATGTCATCTGCGAGCGAGCATATGACGTTCCGACATAAATAAAATCAAGCCCTTGTAAATGAGCAAAACCAGGTGCTCGAATTTTACAATGATAAGGACTGGCATACTGACACTTCCAGAAATGCGAAATCACTCCGTTCAATGCTGGGCTCTTCTTCTTCGCCATTCTTCTTCTTCGTCGCCATCTTCTTCTCCTTCTTCTTCTTCTTCTTTTTCTTCTTCTTCTTCTTCTTCTTCTTCTTCTTCTTCTTCTTCTTCGCCATTCTTCTTCGCCATTCTTCTTCTTCTTCTTCTTCTTCTTCGTCTTCTTCGTCTTCTTCGTCTTCTTCGTCTTCTTCGTCTTCTTCGTCGTCGTCGTCTTCGTCCTCTTCGGCGTCGGGTTCACGTAACATCACAGTAATCCTACGGTTTGGACGGCATGCAGATACAGAAGTTCGGCAGACATATCACCTTGTTTGACGACAAGGCAGGTGTCTACGGCTTTCGTGGGAATGGCATTCCACTGCCTTCGTGCGAGTCACATTGTATGGCAATCCGCTGCCTTCATGTGTGTGTGTGTGTGTGTGTGTGTGTGTGTGTGTGTGTGTG